GTTCAATGATTCCCTTCAATGCAGGAAGACATCGTATGGAAACTTTGATTCTTTTGAATATGTGGCCCTTCGGCTGAAATGCTCCTCTCGAGCTCTGTTCCTAAATATCTATAGACCACCCAAATACTGTGCAAGCTTTTTTGATGACTTTACTGAACTGCTGTCTATAGTGTGTATTGACTTTGACCGTCTAGTCATTGTTGGTGATTTTAACATCCATGTTGACAACCCCCAGGACAGAGGGGCTAAAGAACTGTTTTGTGTTCTTGATAGCTATGGACTGACTCAGCATGTGACGGAGCCCACGCACAATAAGGGGCACACTCTGGACTTAATTATCTCAAAGGGTCTGAATATCTCTAAGGTTGTGGTGACAGATGTTGCACTCTCTGACCATTCCTGTGTTTTCTTTGAGAGCTCTATTTCTGTTCACAAAAATGTTCAAAAAGAGGTAACCACAAAGCGATATTTAACTGAAAATACTAGGGAAATGTTTACTCAGAATTTCTCTTCCACACTTGCCCCTGCCAACATCTCAGTAAATGAGCTAGTAGATCATTTTAATTCAAAAATTAAAAATGTTATAGATGCCATTGCTCCAACTAAGGTAAAGGAAGTGTCTGGCAAGAAAATATCTCCATGGAGAAAGGCCATGACCGTGAAAACAGAAAAAAGAGAATGTCGAAAAGCTGAACGCAGGTGGCGAAAAACAAATCTCCAGGTTCACTTTGAAATCTATAAAGAGAGACTTGGCCTTTATAATTTGGAATTGAAAAACGCACGACAATCGTTCTTCTCTGACATCATTACCAAAAACAAAAACAACGCACGTGCCTTGTTTGCTACCGTCGACAGACTAACTAACCCCCCAGTGTCAGTAGCCTCTGAATTTCTATCCACCAGGGCGTGCAATGATTTTGCCTCCTTTTTCACTGACAAAATTCAGAAAATCAGACAAGCAGTCAGTGCCTCTGCATCAGGAACAGCAAATGTGTTGTCCCTATCTCCACTTAACATCAATTCAGACATCATGACACAATTCCATCAGATTAATGATAAAAACCTAGAGGACATTATTCAACTTCTGAAATCCTCCTCTTGCTGCCTTGATATTATTCCAACAGGATTTTTCAAAGATGTTTTGCCTTGCATGGCCTCAGATCTACTTCATATAGTAAACAAATCTCTTCACTCAGGTATTTTTCCACAGGCCCTGAAAACTGCAGTCATTAAACCGCTCTTAAAAAAGAATAATCTAGATGCTTCAGTAATGAACAATTACAGGCCCATATCAAACCTCCCATTTCTAGGTAAAATCATTGAAAAAGTTGTTTTTCAACAGTTGAGTAATTTCTTGCATTTAAATAACTGTTTTGATGTGTTCCAGTCAGGCTTTCGTCCAAACCACAGCACTGAGACTGCTCTTGTAAAGGTCTTTAATGACATCCACTTAAACACAGACAGTGGCAGAACTTCAGTGTTAGTATTATTAGATCTCAGTGCTGCGTTTGACACTGTTGACCACAGCATATTACTAGACCGACTGGAAAACTGGGTGGGACTTTCGGAAACAGTTCTGAATTGGTTTGAATCCTACTTAAAGGACAGAAACAACTTTGTTTCTATAGGTAAATACACATCTGAGTTGACAAATATGACATGTGGGGTTCCTCAAGGCTCCATCTTGGGGCCTCTTCTCTTTAACATCTACATGCTACCACTGGCTCAGATAATGAAGAACAACAAAATAAGTTACCATAGCTATGCAGATGACACACAAATTTACGTAACAATTTCACCAGGAGACTATGCTCCAATTCAAACACTGAGTAAGTGCATTGAACAAATCAATGACTGGATGTGTCAGAACTTTCTCCAATTAAACAAAGATAAAACTGAGGTAATGGTTTTTGGAGCCAAGGCAGAACGTATAAAAGTTAGCGCTGAGCTTCAGTGTGCAATGTTCAAAACAACAGATAAAGCCAGAAATCTAGGTGTAGTCATGGACTCTGACCTGAGTTTCAACAGTCACATTAAAACAGTTACTAAATCAGCCTACTATCACCTAAAGAATATATCTAGGATTAAAAGACTAATGTCACAGCAGGATTTGGAAAAACTTGTCCATGCTTTTATCTTCAGTAGACTCGACTACTGCAATGGTGTCTTCACAGGTCTCACTAAAAAATCTATTAGGAAGCTGCAGCTAATTCAGAACGCTGCTGCTCGAGTCCTCACTAACACTAAGAAAGTGGATCACATCACTCCAGTTCTGAAGTCTTTACACTGGCTTCCTGTGTGTCAAAGAATAGATTTCAAAATACTGCTGCTGGTTTATAAAGCACTGAATGGTTTAGGCCCAAAATACATTTCTGACCTCCTGCTAAATTATGAACCATCCAGATCTCTCAGGTCTTCAGGGACTGGTCAGCTTTCTGTCCCCAGAGTCAGAACTAAACATGGTAAAGCAGCGTTCAGTTATTATGCTCCAAATATCTGGAACAAACTCCCAGAAACCTGCAGGTCCGCTACAACTCTGACTACTTTTAAATCCAGGCTGAAGACTTTTCTTTTTGTCGCTGCTTTTAATTGAACTATTCATATCTTAGACTGCACTGTAACTTTTATCCATGTACTTTTTTCTTTTAATGTTTAATTGCACTGTAACTTTTATCCATGTATTTTTTCTTTTAATGTTTATTTTATTAGCTTTTCTTTTTAATGACTGATTTTAAATGCCATTTTCTTAATCTCTTTCATTTTTTGTAAAGCACTTTGAATTGCCTTGTGTTGAAAAGTGCTATATAAATAAACTTGCCTTGCCTTGCCTTGCCTAAATACTGTTTACTGTATCGGTAACAAGTATTACTTTGTTAGGCCTATTGTTACGGCTATGTTATTAAAAGTATTGTTGTTATAACAGAAATATATGTTTTGTATCTTCAGGTTGTAAAACGTTATATACGGAATTTGGAACCAGATTTGGTCCCCGGGCGCTGCATTGCGGCTGGGTTAAATGCAGAGGACACATTTAGTTTTAATGTATGCGAGTACTGAGACAATAAATAAATATAAATCGTAATAGTATGCTCTTACTGCGCTTCTGCTTAACAGCGTGTTGTCAGGTGTCTCGGAGCGTGTTATGAAAAAAAAAAGTTATTTAAAAAAAAAAAAAAATCTCTCCGCACCGAATATTCAAATATTCACTGCTGATTACTACCGAATATCCGGAGCCCGAAAAATGGTATTCGGGACAGCCCTACTCGGCAGCCTCCAAGAATGCTTCTTTCACAACTTCATGTGTTTCTCAAGAACGTGACTGACACGATAAGATGCTCTGGTAGCAGCCTTGCTCTTGTTGTTGGGCCTGGTGGAAATGGACTGCTGTGCATTTAGCTGTCCTTTCAGGCCCCTCCCCTTTTGGGAGCGTAAGGCAGAATTAGGAGGGAGTTCCGTCTCGTAGCGTTTGTGCACTGTTTTGAAATGCCGCTCCTAAATGACCCTTCTTCGATAAAGCCACGCTCGCATTGTAGATGAGACAGATGGACTTTGAATTGGAATAGATACAAAAATAATCATCCTCCCACTCGGAGTGAAAATTATATATTTTGGGCTTTTTTGCTACTGCCACTGCCAACTGCCCACCAGCCACGCCCCCCCACACATGGGATCACGCCGGCCAATCACAAAGCTTTGATGCGTTCAAGTGCATTATTCTGGCACAGGAAGATTATGTTATAGGACATTAACGATAAAACTGAATATTGTTGTTCTATTTTTAGACACATCTCGCGATCGACTGGGAATCTCCCCGCGATCGACTGGTTGGACACCCCTGTTCTAGATAGATGGATAGATGGATAGATGGGGTTAGTAAGCCTACATTATTTTGTGTGACTCCAGTTCCTCCCTGACTTCCATCACTTTCTCTCTCTCTGCCTGTCCTGTCTCATCCTTACCAAAGCTGAGCTTCGACTGACGTAGTCTTTTCATTATCTGAGTCAGTGTAAAAAGAAAACAACACAATGTTATATCTCCAATGTTTTACTCAAATTGAAATGAAAGAAAAGCATTACAATGTTTGTTAAAAGGTAATCCTTCTGACATTGGATGAATGTAATTAACTTTAGCTCTCTAGCTAGTTTATTCACGCAATTTAAACCAAAGTATAGCCCATATCTGCAATATAAGTTAGTGTGCATGTTGTCGGACGTCCAGTGACTAACGTAGAGCGTTCACACAGGATCTGCTGGTCATATGATATCCTGATGAACAGAAACACAAGCAGCCCACTGGACTCAGATATCTAGATACCTCATCACTCCTCCGCTGATCCAGTACAAGTCCTAGCTGCGGTGGTTTGTTGATACATGTCGTCTTCTTCTGTTTGCTTTAATCGAGGCTACGTAGTTATGCAGCGCCCCCATCGTCAGTAAATGGAAGTACTACAAATAACACCGTTTAACTTTAGTGCAATTATTTCACAAGTTTAGTTATATACACAGCTCGAAAAAAAATCTCGGTGACCTCAATGGTGGATACGGCCATGCTTTCGACCATTCAGGATGAAATGAAGTCTTTCGTTTCGGCATTTCTGCGGTTTAACCCTACCGCTAACTAGGTGGAGTTGGCTCATGAGCTAGTCGGCTAGCGCTAACATCACTCTGTGCCACAGTGCCCTGGCGTGAATGTGACGTCGAGAAGCACATGGCTAATTGTTTACATTTATTAACCAATGAAATACAAGATATTTATTTGACATCGCATTCAGCCAATAATTTGTAAGACCACAAGTCTTACGGGGGTATACTGTATACTTACACATCACTTATTTTTTGTATTTCTTTGTATAATTGCCTAAAAGTATAAAATAGGGATGACCTCAAAAGGAGGACAAATGAGCGTCCGGCTCAAGGCTGCGCCGGCAGACGGGCACAGACATTGAAAACCGGACTGTCCGACCTAAAACCGGACAGATGGCCACCCTAAGTGAGAGGCAGGTATACAGATGTCTCTGGGATGGTGCGAACTTTAAAGAAAACAGTCTTTTATCAAATGAGTGTGCAGTTTCATTAATTCTGTACATAGATGATTTTGAGGTTTGTAATCCCCTTGGGACTTCGCGCAAAATACATAAAATCTGTGCCATATACTGGATTTTAGGCAATCTTCCACCTGGTTCACACTCTTCATTGTCATCAATCTACTTGGCTGCATTGATCAAAAGTGATGATGTAAAGTTGTATGGATACAAGGCAGTTCTTGAACCTTTGATTAATGACATCATTATTTTAGAGCAACATGGAATATTTGTGGCCAAGTTAGGAAAATCTGTAAAGGGAACAGTGCAATGTGTTGCTGCTGACAACCTAGGTGCTCATAGTCTTGCTGGTTTTGTGGAGAGTTTTTCGAGTGCTTATGTTTGTAGGTTTTGTACAGCTCGGAAATTAGATTTTCAAACGAGGGACGTAGGAAGTGGAGCATTCTCTTTGAGGACAGAGGAGGGTCACGCAAGACATCTTAAAACACTTGAGGAAGAATCATTGGCCAATTGTTTTGGTGTTAAGAGGAGGTGTGTTTTGTCGGAAAAACTTGCTCATTTTAATGTCACAACTGGCTTTCCTCCAGACATCGTTCATGATCTATTTGAAGGAATTGTTCCTCGTGAAATAGCTCTTTGTCTCTCTGTGTTCACCTCGAAGAAGTACTTTACTTTGGAATTTTTGAATGACTCTATAAAAACGTTCCCCTTCAAGTGGACAGATAAAACAAACTGTCCCCATCCTGTGCCTCTTACCTATGCAACAAGGAGAACAGTTGGTGGCAATTCTCACGAGAATTGGAGTTTGATCAGGTTTTTGCCGCTCCTCCTGGGACAGAAGTGCCTGCTGATGAACCTGCCTGGAATCTCCTCACTGACTTGAAGGACATAGTTGACCTTGTTGTCACACCGGTGCACACTGACGAAACGATAGCTTATTTGAATTTCAAAATCTCTGAGCATAGAGTACGGTTTAAGGAGGTTTTCCCAGACTCCAACTTGCTTCCTAAGCATCACTTCTTGGAACACTACCCACAGCTAATCTATCAGTTTGGTCCTCTAGTTTCTCTCTGGACTTTAAGATTTGAAGCCAAGCATAGCTTTTTTAAGAGAGTTGTAGACACACTAGCTGCTTTAAAAACTTGTTGTTGTCCTTGGCAGAGAGACACCAGTTATCCATGGCACACCAGCTCTACTCATGTAGATTTCCTAAGCCTCTACTGGAAGTGAAAAAGTTCTCAACTGTTAGCATTGACGTCCTGAAAGATGATATTGCACAGGCTGTCAAACACAAGAACCCAAATGTGAAGGAAGTTTCTTTGGCCGAAAATGTCATCTATAACAGATTTAACTACAGACTTGGAATGATCCTTGCTCGTGGATCAATCAGAGGGATGCCTGCATTCACGGAAATCATCCAGATGGTGGTTCTCAAAAAGGAATTGGTCTTCATTGTTCGGAAACTAAGCTCTTGGTACATGGAACACTACAGAGCCTATCAACTCGAAATCTCGCCTTCAAAGGAGATTGAAGTTTTTGAGGCATCTCAACTGACCGATCCTTACCCCCTAGCAGACTACACAGTTGGGGCCATGCGGCTTATTACACTCAAGCGATATATTCAAGGTTAAGGTTAGCATAAAGTAATATCTGTTTGGGGTGGGTCAGAAGCAAAGTGGATGTGATGAATTATGCAGGTTAATTTTGTTTTCATTGTAATTAACATGAATGATCATATCATTTAAATTCAACAAAGCTAATGTTGCACGTAAAACTATTTGTTCATAGCACACAATCATTAGTCAACCATGAACAAAGCACATCTCTAATATCTCTTTCTCTCTCTCCAAACCCCACCCTGCTTTCTTTCCCTCCCACTCAGAGGATCTCCAAACATGGCGGGCGTCACGCGGCTCCTGGTGATTTTAGAAGAGGACAGTCGCATCAAGCTGGAGCTTCCTAATGGCATCCCCTCCTCGGTTGACAAAGTCATCCAAGAAATAACGAATTCCTGTGGTCTAACTAATGAAATACGGCTTCAATACAATGACCCTGATTTCGGCACTTGGGTTAACTTAACTTCAACTTCAGAACTCAAGGATCTTGCCACTTTGAAAGTTATTAATGTAGTACCCAGTGTGACTTTATTCTTAGAGCCAGTGGATAAGGCTAATTTTCAACGCCAAGATGATTCCAGTATGTCTTCATCTGCATGCTCGGGTGACACATTACCCGTAAGCAGCCCTTCTTCGGACACCTACAGAAAGGAGCAGTGGCCCAAGGTGTTCCTCATCCCTACTTTCTCTCATTCAACAGAAACACAACTTAGGGATGGAAATGCAGAGTACCAGAGAAGCCAGGTTACTCACTCCCAGCTCTAAAATGCTTTCCAACATACTGGAAACGCTCGCTGACAAAGTCTATTCATACAAATCCTATCCTAGCGATGCAGACTTCAGTGAAGTGGCAGAGGCACTCACACAGACATACCCCTGTCTGAAAGAACCTGGGTCCTTCAACCACAGTTACGGATGGAAACAGAGACTCAAGACGAAGATGTACAACTATCGCACATACCTGAAATCACACAGTTCATCATCTGACGAGCTGACTGTGAATACTCTGAAAAGAAAGTTGCTGACGGATGCCCACCCAGCAAAGAACATAAAGAAACCTAGGCGAGCTGAGTCTAACCATTACCCATCTCTGCCTTTCAACGAGACACCAGAGTCCATGGAGCAAGAGAGAGTGGCCCTCTTGTCTGAGGTAAAGAAAAGGAACAATGTCCAAACAATAAGACAGAAGATGGCTCGGACGTTCGCATTTCAGAGGCAAGAAATTGTCGACAAGAAAACATCTTTGCACGAAATGATCGAGAGATGGCCAGCACTCTTCGAAGTTCAAGAGGTACACTAACTTTACTCATAGTATGTATGTATATGTGTGTGTAATCAAATGTACGTAAAGCTAAATCACATGCTTTTGCATGAGGCACATATCCTTTGTCTGTTTTTGATATATATAGCTATACTACCTATATTCCCTAGGTGAATGAAGAATTCATCAGAGTAACCACAATACCCCTTGAAGCAAGGTTCATGCAGAAACTTGACGAGAAGTGCAGTGAACTGATTCAAGTCGTCAGAAAGAAGGGTGGAGCTATCCGGGAGAAGACAAAGCTCCTGCCATTTGTGGAAACGGTATGTACAGATGTTTTTTACTTTACTGCTCACTTACATATATGCCTCAATAACAATAGATATATCTTTCAATACATAATCAATTATTTATAGCATTGGTCACTGATCCGACACAGCAACCTTTTAGCCAGAGGTTTCATAGACTTGGCACATTCATTCTTCATGTTCATCTACATGTTTAGACATTCATTTTGGCGTAATGGGAATTCTTGGCTGTTTTTTCATGGCCTTAATATGGTTGACACACTAATTGACTGATATTGTAATCATTATTTTATCGACTGATATGAAAGTGTCCAGCCCTACCTTCACGCCAAACTATGCTCTTTTTTCATGTCTCTACTGTCTAAATGCATCCTTACTCATTTATCACCTAAAGCTCATTCCCATGCATTCATTCCTTCATACACTAGCTCTCAATCCCACATTAAGAAACCGTGGCACACTCGCACTGATTGAATGGACGAACTGAACAATTAACATTAATTATTGTGACTGTCTTCATGCAGGATACTGACATCACTACAAAGAGGGAGATTGCTCTCAAATGTCTCATCCTCAACATGGGAGAATCGGTGGAGGACCTGATCAAAGAATTCCTGGTGAGGCAAGATTACTGTTGAGGTGTTAAAATTCTAGCTAAGGCTGTCCATTTTATATGATGTGTGTTACATTTTACATAACATTTTAGTTATTTAGCAGGTGCTCTTATCCAGAGTGACTAACAACAAGTGTAATAGGAGTACAAGTCAAATTCAAATGTCACCAACACAGCGAGTAACCAATAGGCAGTCCTAGTAGTGTTTAAAGACGTGCTCAGACAACACATCCTCACTCCCAGGTCGGCCTATGTTGACGTTATGTCAAGTCCCCTGCCGGCTTTTTCCAACGCAAGGGGGGGGCCCTTAGCGTCCATTTTCAACACAAGGGGGGGGCCCTTAGCGTCCATTTTCAACTTTCCGGGATGTCCATATGCTTCTATGGACGCTCATGGAAGCACGGCATTCGTTTGTGTCGACTGCCCTTAAAGGCAATGAGAGCGTCCATTCTCATTGGATAACGGAGAATTGTACACCCGGAAGTAAGTATTCCCCTTACTGACGATTAATTTTACAGTGATATCTGCACTACTCGTCGACTAAAAAACACCAGATTATCCTTGTTAATTACACAACATTGATTGGTTTAAATTGTGTGCAATGCTTTTGTATTTTTCCCCTTCGATTCGGAGAAACAAATCTTTTTTCGGAGTAAAGGATGGCAGAAGACACTACACTACCCAGAATCCCCAGCTATCATTTGGACCCACGCCATGTGCTCTGTTTGACAAACCCCGTGATAGTCCTCAAGCTCTGTGATTGGAGAGTGTGCTCCGAGGGTTACCGAGCCTCGAACAGCACTTGAAATGGGATGGAACCACGGCAGACTGTTCAAAACTGGATTTGAACGGGTCCACCGCGTCATGTTTCAGACAAGTGCATGTTTCAGGCTTATCAATTAATGTAATGTAATGTAATGTTATCAATGAACAAGAGGAGGGGTCACAAACATAAGACCAGCTGTTAAATAAAGCTCTTCTGACCTTAGCTGGCATGTGTGTATATTAATGCTGCCCATTATGGGCACGAGCAATTTTCACCCATTTATTAATTATATGTTAAATGTGAGTGTTTCCTATCCCCTAAACCTCCAGGGATGTACACAGTTTAATACTGGCAACTTCTTATTATGGGAAATACGAAAACGTCTTTTAAAACTACAACTCCCAGTAGAGACGTGCCATATAGAGAACATGTTGAGAAACAGAATAGCCAGCATGTGTAGTTCTGGGGACGGGGTGGGGGAGGGGGGGACGCGGTGGACCCGTTCAAATCCAGTTTTGAACAGTCTGCCGTGGTTCCATCCCATTTCAAGTGCTGTTCGAGGCTCGGTAACCCTCGGAGCACACTCTCCAATCACAGAGCTTGAGGACTATCACGGGGTTTGTTAAACAGAGCACATGGCGTGGGTCCAAACGATAGCTGGGGATTCTGGGTAGTGTAGTGTCTTCTGCCATCCTTTACTCCGAAAAAAGATTTGTTTCTCCGAATCGAAAGGGAAAAATACAAAAGCATTGCACACAATTTAAACCAATCAATGTTGTGTAATTAACAAGGATAATCTGGTGTTTTTTAGTCGACGAGTAGTGCAGATATCACTGTAAAATCAATCGTCAGTAATGGGAATACTTACTTCCGGGTGTACAATTCTCCGTTATCCAATGAGAATGGACGCTCTCATTGCCTTTAAGGGCAGTCGACACAAACGAATGCCGTGCTTCCATGAGCGTCCATAGAAGCATATGGACATCCCGGAAAGTTGAAAATGGACGCTAAGGGCCCCCCCCTTGCGTTGAAAATGGACTCTAAGGCCCCCCCCTTGCGTTGGAAAAAGCCGACAGGGGACTTGACATAACGTCAACATAGGCCGACCTGGGAGTGAGGATGTGTTGGCTCAGACAATAGCTACAGACAAGAGCCAAAGCTATGCATCACGATACAATTCCTTCTTACAGCCAATTATGGCCTTCCAGGACGTCCACGATATGTCTTAACAGTTAGGCTATTCATCTGGGGGGAAACCCGAGCTATATTGATTTCAGATTCTTTTTTCCTAAATTATTTTCCAGGTGTCGGAGAAGGATGAGGCTGGACAAATTCTTCAGCGGGAAACCATCGCAATCTTCGTCATCAGAGATGCACAAGCCGCAACCGAAGACATTGGCATCATTCTTGAGGGATAAGAGGTTGTGAATAAGTTGGCGTCTGTTGCAAATGCTGTCGCCATTCTCCTGGGCTTCCTTTATGCTCTCAATCTGGAATATCCCAAGACATTAAAATTGACATTTGAATATATCCAGAAAGTCTTCATGGAGCTGGACCCGAAAGGCATGGCCACCAAGGTCAAGAAGCTCTATGACCAGCTCTACAATAGAGCTTAGTTCAGGTTTCCTACACGTCCAAGTTTTCCAGTAATGGAAAATGATAAAGACAATAACAAGTCACAGAAAACGTATGTGACTGTCCTGGAGAATGAAAAGGTTACACACCTGTTGTGTGGCTAGTTATGGTTCGTCATTCTGAAGTTCAACTGTTTGAAAATATAAAAACTGTCATAGCAATTACCCTGTGGCACTGATGGGCTCTGCTCTGGCTGGTAGAGTACGCAAGTTGCGTACGCATTTGGTTTCAAAGGTCAATATGTTTGGCTGCCAGCTCTTCAAAGTTCCAATCTGACCCTTGAGAAGCTTGACTGTTTTCTGGCAAGAATTATTTTTCATTTTTATGCCTTTAGGCATACAACTGCGGTACAGTTTTTCTATGTATTTTAAATTGTTACATTTTATTTGAACAATGCAGATACCCTGTAAATATGTTTGTTTTATAAGTAATAAACCCGTTATTAAATATCACAATGTGTAATGAGAATTATTGATGTAATCTATATATTTTTGGATTAGATTAAATGAGAAAATTATAGTTTAACAAAATGTATACATTTTTGATTGGATAAAACAAATAATATTTAGTTAATTTTAACGAGAAAAAACTGTTTGATAAAATCTATATTTGTTTGTTTGGATTAAATATAGAATTTAAATTAATTGACTTCCTTCAACAAGAAAATATACTTTGTGCCAAGTCTTATATAATAGTTTCCATGGACATAAGAAATATTGTTTGAGGCAAGTTATTTATTTTTCATTGGCTCAAGCTATAGAGTATAGATGTGAACCATTACCCTACATTTTTTAAATTGGTTGAACGAAATACTTTTATCCGTGTAGATACGAGCATGGTTTTATATACTATCACGTTTAATCGTGTTTTATGCCGTTTGCCAAGACTTGATAAGTCGCTCGTAAAACACAGGAGGTATGGAAGCTAAGACACCATATGTGGTAAATTGTACAGCTGATGTAACACAACACATTAGTTGTATTTCCTTTAATCCTCCTGTTACATTCAGGGTCAAATTGACCCGTTTGAAAGTTTGAAAATCTACGAAAAATACTTTCAAGTATTTTTTTTGTATGAAACTTCTTCTACTTACCTTAATTAGTGTAATAAACAAGTAAAATGAAAATGGTTCATGTCATGCATTTGGAACCCCCCCTACATGTCTATATCACAGAGATGGTATTCGGGCAGTGAAAGTGGAGGCTAAAAGGGGTCAGAAATACACACACACACACACACACACACACACACACACACACACACACACACACACACACACACACACACACACACACACACACACACACACCAGTGAAAGTGGAGGCTAGAAGGGGTCAGAGGGTTCAAATGCGATATACAGTATATATATATATATATATCATCATTTTCCACACACAAAAAGACAGATAGACAGACACAAATACTGTAGTGAAATATTTGTATTTATTCATGTTAGCAAACTATGGATAAGCTTAAAATGGGAATAATTTGGGTAAAACTGTGAGCTGGATTTGGGAACTGTTGACATGTGTTTTTGAGGACAAAGGAAGATGGAGGAAGGGGAGAGCATGTCTTGATTTGCATTCACCTTAGATCTTGCTACAGTGATTGGGGAAACCTAAGATTTGAGGTGTTAGTGATATTTGGGGCTGCCAATCAAGGAGGTCCAAAGGGGAGGATCTGATAACTCCTCCCATTGTTAAAGAGTATAAACACAGACACACACGCGGTGTTCAGCCTCTTTCCTCTGGCTGGCTCACGTGCAGGTAAATTTGGGATCCCAAAGATTAACTGTATTGAATTTGTACTGTATTGATTGTATTGTATTGTCATATTACCATTAAAGTAGATTATTGTTTACTTGGTAGCTCTGGATTTCTTCCTGTATTATAACCAGCTTGATAGGAACGCGCGGAGATTTGAAAAGCGGACCAGATATCCCTTTAAATCTCTAACAATACCCACACAAATACACACTGCACCTGTTAGTGAAAGTGGGGGTGTTAACTGTGATGGTTATTCTCGCGTCCAGGAAAGAGAAGCTTAAAAAGGAGACTAAATGGAGTCTCTGAGATGTTTTCAAATTGGTACTTTAATTAATAAAAAGCATGGTAAAGTCACAAACAGGATATTTTCCGACAGAAAAGCAGCTGTCTCTGGCTCTCACTAGCAGAGGGAAAAGAGGCCGAACCGCTCAGGTGCAGCTGTTATATATCCTCTGCAGGCTCCTCCCTGCGGGCCGGCCCTCCACATCTTAATGTCCGTTGTTACGTTAAACAGAGGATTCAGGCATTGTACATTCAATATATACTTAAACACGCCTCTTCTCCTCATATTGTCTTTCATCACTTTTCCTTTAACACATTCTAAACGTTGTAGTTAATATTCAAAAAAATACAGAAAATACTTCACGGCTGGTTTGGTTTCTGGTCATTCCGGATGTTGTCACATCTTACCCACGTCTGTAAACAATAACTTTTTTCAAATAAACTGTACCTTCATTTAATATTCAGCAATAATAATACGTCTATAGTTGCAGTGTTAAAATCAGTAGGTTTCGGTGTGCATCACTCCATGTCATTTCGCTACTAAATTAACCTCTATAAGAAATGGTAAACTAGCCACATGCTAACTGCTAACCGGAGATGAAGGATTTTCAGAATAAAAGCTTAACAACTGGTTGTGCACAAGAATTTTCTGGTTTTTCAGTATAAAACAGCATTTAAACTGAAGGTACATTTAAGGTACATTATCCCATCAAAACATTGATTTTAATTTCTAACAGGGGTCAGATGGTTCAAGTCTCAAATGTGTAATGGGTAAGCTCCTCCCACATGCACTTAACGTACAGTATACTCACAATACTATCAGACAAAATGAGCAACGCAAGTGAAGAGAGGACAGCCCTGGGCTATATGGAATACATCCTTGAGGAGGATCACGACAGCGAGATAGAGGAGAACGTTTCCGAGGATGAAGACTACCTTGAGGTAAACGATGAAGATTCTGATTATGATCAATCAGATGAGGAAACTGATATTTGCCCAGATGAGACATTCATGTCCAAAAATGGTGAAATTCAGTGGTCCTCATCCCCTAATGGACGCCAGGCAACACTATCGGCAGCAAACATAATGAAGGCAGTGCCAGGGCCCACCAGGATGGCAGTCTCTCGTGTCACAGACATCAAGTCTGCTTTTGAGCTGGTAATTTCGAACACAGTGCTGAAGATCGTTCTGGGTATGACCAATCTGGAAGGGAGACGTGTATATGGGGAGGAGTGGAAGGAGCTGGATGAAATGCATTTACATGCGTATTTGGGTCTCCTCATCTTGGCTGGGGTCTACAAATCCAAGGATGAATCGACAGCCAGCCTGTGGGACGCAGACACAGGCAGGAATATATTTCGAGCCACAATGTCTCTGGGGACTTTCCACATTTTCTCAAGAGTGATCCGATTTGATAATCGTGACACAAGAGCTGGCAGACGTGAGAGAGAGAAGCTGGCAGCTATAAGGACAGTGTGGGACAAGTGGGTAGAGCGGCTTCCACTTCTCTACAACCCAGTACCTAATGTCACAGTGGATGAAAGGCTGGTGGCATTCAGAGGTCGTTGCCCATTCAAGCAATACATGCCTTCGAAACCGGCAAAATATGGCTTGAAAATATGGGCAGCATGTGATGCAAACTCCAGCTATGCATTAAACCTGCAGGTTTACACTGGAAAGCCAGTTGGAGGAGCCCCAGAGAGGAATCAGGGCATGATGGTTGTGCTCGACATGGCACATGGTCTCAGGGGTCACAACATAACTTGTGACAATTTATTCACGTCCTACAACCTGGGTCAGGAGCTCCTGAAGAGAAAGCTAACAATGGTTGGAACTGTACGAAAGAAAAGAACGGAACTCCCTGCCGAAATGCTGGTGATCAAGAACAGGGTCCCTCAATCCTCCAAGTTTGTGTGCAGACACCACAACCACACACACACACACACACACACACACACACACACACACACACACACACACACACACACACACACACACACACACACACACACACACACACACACACACACACACACACACACACACACACACACACACACACACTCTTAATTGCTGTTACAATAAAACACTTTCAATACAAATCCTCATGTTTCATTTGGCTTGATTCTAAGTGAACGGGTCAATTTGACCCTGAACAGAAGAGGTGTCTCGTCTCAACATCAACCAATTGTAAAACAAGTTGGAACATTTTAAAATTAATTTAAAACATGTTATGTTATGCAAAACTAATGTATTTTATATCAAGGTTTTTCCAATGTAAAAAAGAAAATATAAAAATATGTTTGAATCGACAGCTGGAATACAAACCACCAAATACAAAAACATAATTCAGATCCAGTCGTCATGACTCCACTCCGGAGGGATTCCCCGATCATTCTTATTTAATTATTTTGGTGACGATCCGACCTCCATGCTGCTACTCTGGTTCAAACTGCATCCACCAAACAATATGATTTATCTCCACCTCCCCAAAATAACCCAAATCTGACACGGTGAGATGTCTTTTTTAGCTGTTCTGTCGTCATTTCCTGCGATCTTCTTCATAAAGTCAGTCAGAATGAATGAATGGGCGTTTCTTTGACTATTTATAGGTAAATATGGGCGTTACGTGAAGCCCGCAAAAGCTGCACCGCATTTCGAGTCGGTTGTGATTTATAAAGGGAAACCGGCGTAGGAAGTGCTGTACGCACTTTCCTCGCCGGTACGCAATGTTTGGTGAATCGGAAAATGTCGGAACATTTCTGTACCTATTTTTTGGATTTCTACTACGTAAGTAACCTTCCCACGTGAATCCTACGCACGGCGTTATAAATGAGGCCCCTGGCCATTGTGCCAAATATGGCACCTACTCCTTGATCGAGGACAGAATAAACAAGGTTTTGGATCTTCAACTTGTCCAGGTAAGTTAACGTTATCAGTCAAACAAATCAGATGTGCTTTTGTCTAATGTGACACGGTGTTGTGACAGAGTCATTCTTTGGTGGGGGCTCTAAGGCCCCCCTCTGCCTCCACGCGTCCTTTTGTGAATGGGTCAGATTAACAGAGGAAGAATTCACAGCAACCATTGGTAAGGTTAAGACAAATATGCTGATTTAATGGTAAAAGATACAAATACAATATCATCACGAAGTAATCCGGATTACTCCGGCCCTGTCCTCCGCTGGGAACTCTTACATACTCGTCTTGGCAGCTGGAGGAAAGAGAGCCAGGACTCAACAGGAGATATACAAGAATAAAACAGGAGGGGTTGGGTCAGCTGGTCATCTTTTCAGGTCATCTCATTGGGAGATGCAAAAGATGCTGTGTCACAGCGAATCAGCGCGTGCCAGCAGAGAACCCGAAAACAGTCTCAGTTTGAAGCAAA